ACAGGTAATGTTGTTTCTTTTTTGCACACCATCTATAGCGTCAATTCAGTCAATGATCGTTGGTTTTGCATTGGTGATTTTGCATCGGAGTCTGTTGATTTTGCAAACGAGTCAGTTGATTTTGTTTTAAGGTTTTCTGTTTTGTATTTCATTATGTTCATAAAGTTAGTTGTTAGTTTTGCATTAACGTAATTTTTACCCTTTCCGCCGCCAATAGTATTCCTTATATTTACATGCTTTTGATTGGACGCTCATCCCATACGTGCTATAAGCCCCGCTTCTGTCTCTATCGGTTCACGTCGCGCCCCGTACGTGATTTTTTTTAACTGCGCCTATCGATGAATCAGTACATTTATGAAGAAAGTATAAATTAACCATTTGTAATTTTATCTCGGACAAAGACACTGGAAATGTAAATATTTGAATATATAACAGATTGTATAATGGTTATAGATCGTAGTTTTAGAAGTAAACAAATAAAAAATAATTTGCCCCTGGTCAGTGCTCCCCCCTCCCTCTAATTATAGATTTAAACTTTGATTGATTTTTTCTTATCGGGCTTTTTCAGTGAAGAAGAAAATAAATAATTTGACCTTGATTTTATTGGAAATAAATAATCTGTCCTTTATCGACATAAACATAAGTAATCTGACTCGGAAAAAAACCCTAGTGATAAGCGTCCGAATGTTATGCATCATTGTTGACAATACAATGAGCGCAAAAATGAAAGTAGATTTCACCTGTCCATAGATTGTCATAAGGTGTTCATTTAACTTGTACATTATGTCATGTATGAATCTTACGTGTATCCTCGTTTGATGTCATCAATACATACGGTAGGTAACTCTTTCGCAAGAGGGCGCGACTGTTTGGAATCGTGTTTATTGTCATCTCCCTCGGGAGATGACACATTAAGATTGTATGCCGGAAGTGAAGTCCTAGTGTAAGCCTCCATTAATCTTTCTGGATTCCTCGATGTTTTACAGAGTTCCAAGTACCCTGTAAACTGGTTTTCTTTTAGAAGAACTAGCTTAGGAGTGTGTGATCTACTTTCGGTTTAGGTTATTTGAAAGCCAAGGAAAATTTAGAAAAGAAGTACGATGCTTATAAATATCTATAGTTTCGGTGTCGTATATATATTGATCCTCAATACATTAATACATTATTAAATTGGTAAACCACACAAGGAGAATTGACAATGGCGTGATTTCTATACATGTATATAGATTTGTTGACACGAAGGAAAAACTGGTTCTCGCACAAATGAACAAGCTTACAATTAGATTCTGCAAAAAATGAACGAAGAGTGGTCAACACTAATTTTATGTTAATGTTTTTAGTCTGTAATGGGATTTATTAAATTAATTCCTGTCAAACTTTAATGATTAGCTGTTTTTAAATGAATGATAATTATTGTTGATAATTCCGTATTGTGTTAAGAAAATATAGTTCAAGGAAAGTATTTGAATTTAAGTAAATTGTAAACACCCAGAAGCACAAAGACCGCTAGAATGAAATTTCACCAAAAATCGCCTTGGGTGCTCTCGCAGACGTCCATGCTTTCCATATATATATACTGCGGCCAAAAGAAACTGCGTACTTTACTGTGGAGTTTGCTGAATAAGTCATTTGGGAACTTCAGGTGTAATAATCCATATATTCATTGCATTTAAATATTTCCCTTTCTGTTTTATTTCTTTGACATTATTGATACCAAAGAGATGACATTTCAGGCTTTCTGGAAAGCCAAACTTGTTACGTTTAAAGTTGCATCCCATATAAACTGTGTTTCAATCTTTCAGGCGCGGTCATTGGAAAGTCTTTTCTAATGAAAAGTCTCTGGCTTTCCCCAAAACCTCTGATACGGAGGAAAACAGTGCTGCATTAACTCAGCTACCAATGGAGCAAAACACAGAGAAATGTTAACATCGTTACTTTTGAATTGACTAGTCGAATTACCTCATGTATGCAAAAATATCACTTGCTTTCGATGAAAATTTTTCACTGTGCAGATGATAGAATATTTTTTATTATTACCTAACCTACTATTATTTAAATTGTAATTAGGCATTTTAAACTGTTTCACGATTCATTTTATACTTTTGCGTGATCATGAAACAGTCGAACTGTTGACCGGGACACATAATTAACTGTCGCCTGGCTGAAATATCCATTATGACATCATAATCAATTTCCCGTACTTTACAGCTATATTACATTGAATTATATATAAAATAAAGCAATTTAATGGCATTCAATTTGAAATTATCATCTGAAAGTAATCCTGATATCTATATAAATACATGTTTAATTTAACATCACGTCAAAAAAGAGGCCAAGAACACTTTTTCTGAAGGTAGTTTGGAAAAATGTAGGACCCTTCATTCATTATAGATCTTTGCGTTAAAACTCCAACCCAACGTGTTATATTCAAACTTTCAAGAAATTATTATGTTGTTTACAAATGTGCCACTGATAAATTGATATTTTATTAATGTGTTGTTTTGAAACCAATTGGCGTGAGAATTTGATTAGTCTATTGTTCAGTTTGATTTCAAGAAATAAAAAAATTGGCCGATTTATTCTAAAATCCATTGATTATTATGTCTATATCATCATTTTAAGAAATTATATAGTAGGTTAGGTAATAAAACACTAATTTTATGACAATTCGGGAAACAGTCAAACTGTTGTCCCTCGATAATACGGAAGACCTGGGAAACTGTTGCCCGAGGCCGACGGCCTCGGGCAACAGTTTCCCAAGTCTTCCCCATTACCTCGGAACAAAAGTTTGACTCGTAGTCATGAAATAAGTGTATACTGTTTCACATTGTACCTTATCATTCCATGGGGATTATTTGCCTAATCATTTCGTATAAAAATTTGATCTTGTACTACCGATATCTGTGTGACGTACCAAACCTACAGGAAAACTGAAGAGGGGTAACCCTTTACATTTACCTAGGTTTAAATCAGTTACATCTTTATCAAATCATTAATTACTATCATCAAATTAATTGTAATAATCTCCAAATTAACCATACCCTCATTCATTTGGATATAGAAATAATTGATTTGAAAATGAGCATGATTATTAAATGATCAGAACAAATAGTAAGAATGAACTCATCTTCAAACTATAGCACCTATCTTCCAAAAACATAAGGAAAGTTACAACTGAGTCGAAGATAGGTCTTTTAAAATGAATTACTTGTTATCATTAAAGGATTCTCAGTCCTCCAGGACATCTGATCCCACCTCTGATCTTTTGGAGGTCCGTGTTTGCTCTGCTCCTATTTTGTATTGTTTTATGGACTTTTGAGCTCGAATACTGTTTCTTATCTCCATATATTTCATAACTGAACCTATGTTCTATTTAAATTCAATGACAGATAAGTTCAATTCAATCAAAGATATAGGTTTAATTGAGAAGGATATGGAGATAACGAACAGTATTCAATCTCAAAGTCCATAAAACAATACAAAATTTAGAGCAACGAACACGGATCAGAGGTGGGATCAGGTGCCATGGAGGAGTAATTATGCCGACCGGTCACACCCGCCTTGTCACGATCAGGAAATCACGGAAAAAATCCGTCGTCAATTCAGTGTATAAATAATGGACTAACAATTGGTATGAAAAACGACAGTCAGCATTTGACTCAATGATAAATTGTATTTGCTGACAATGTCATTGTATCGACCATAGAACTTACGAAATGGTGACTTTAAACGGGACTGCTGATATTCCTGTTTCATCAACTTGCTTGTCAATAATTTACCTCGTTTTAAAAATTGTTCATACGTGGAGCATGCTCTTGCGTATCGAATCAACTGCGATATGTATACTCCGTATGCAGGTGATGAAGGTATATTGCTGCATAAGTAAGGAAAGTTGACGATAGAAAAGTTAAAGTCATCACGTTTATCATATAGCTTAGTTGTTAGATTACCATTAGCTTCTTTTTCAAGTAAAATATCCAAGTATGAAGCAGAAGTGTCGGACTCTGTGGTATCTTTTATCGCAAGCTCACCAGGATATATCGTATTGACGTAGGAATTATACCTATCTTTTTTTATTTGAAGATAGGTACAGTTGATTTAAAGACTTGAACAATAATTTTAAAACTAGCAACAATTAATACTTCTCCACAAAGGAATAAAAGCTAGGTTTAAATCAATTATACCTGTCATCCATTTTGGTATTTGTACTTTTTTTCAAATCAGCTATAACTATCTTCACAAAAATTGTGCCCATCTCCAAATGAAATAAAGATAAGTATGCATGTAATTGAATCAAAGCATTGCTTTTTTACCGCAATTAATCTGTAAATGAGTAAAATTTGTATATTACTTTCTCAGAAGTGCAAAATAGGAAACACACCACAAGATTTTGAAGATTATTTAAAAGTGATTTGCATTAGTTACGTTCACACTAATTTATTTTCTTTCTCAAAAATTTTAGCCAAAAAGCGAAGTATTCTTTTACTTTTCAAGATTAATATCGAAAAATGTTATCAAAAATGTCTTAACAAAATTCAAGGCAAATACTAATAATCTTTGGTTAAGTAATACACGGAGTTATTAAAAATTAAGTGTAAACAAACTGGAAGATTATTTGAAATATGGAATTGCATTTGGAAGCTTTCAGAAATCTATTCTTTCAAAATAAAAATGATGGACTGATTATATGTATTTTAACTTAGTGCTCAATAAAGATTGACCTTAAAAAATGCTGTGTTATCCTAGGCTCTTTCAGATTTGCAGCACAATGTGATAAAGAAACATGTCCAGAACCATCTGGTTACTGTTTCCTTACCACTTTGAACAAATTCAGAAAACTCGAACGACTAAATTGATAATGACATCTAAATGATTTATTCGTGGAATTCCATAGCATTTTAGCGATGCTCTTTTTCATTGGTTCGTTTGCAAGACAGGATGCGTCGAATTAAAAAAAAAATAATAATAAACAAGTTCTTATTCAGTTACAACACGAGCTATGTGAGACATTCAATACAGAATATGTTGTGGTTGTTGTTTTTGTTTGGGATAAGTTGTCTGGTTTTTGTGGACACGGTGAGGGTGTCAGACTTTTATCCTTTTGGTGAGGACGTTGGTGATACGACAATGCCTGCAAATGATGACGGGAGCTCGCCTAACATTTCCATTTCTGCGAAATTCCCATTTTTCAACCACCAACATGACCAATTAATCGTAAGTTTGTATAAGTTCTATACAAATTACAAATTCTTTGTATATGTACTGAGACTTTTGAATATAGAGAATATTGACTGTAAATAAGACTTATGTGTTTTCTGTTAGGTGAGTACCAATGGAGCTATTTCATTCCTGACCCCAGTGCCTGAATATACTCCGGATCCTTTTCCGCTGGACGGGGACCGCAGACTTCTCACTCCCTTCTGGGCAGACGTGGATACTACAAAAGGGGGGCATGTCCGATACAGGGAAACTACAGACCCCAATATACTAGACAAAGCTTCTCATGAAATCAAGGCATATTTTCCTGACTTTAGTCGTTTTCACGCTGCTTGGGTTTTTATAGCTACGTGGGATAATGTAGCCTTTTTTGGATGTTCAAGTAGTGGTTGTTTAAAGGTAATAAATTTTTTATTTTGTTTGTACTATCGAATTAGTTTTCTTGCCTTTCATTGTGAACAGTTTCCTATGGTATCAATTATACAGTATGATTCTTTTTTAGATATTAATTTTACCTGGTTTTACATGATAAACATTATTCTGTTTTATAATATTATCTGTTGAAGCAAAATACTTTTCAAGCTGTACTGATAACAAATGGACAGCATTCCTTTGCCATTTTTAATTATGCAAACATTGAATGGACAACCGGAACTGAGAGTGGGGGAGACGAAAACAATGGACTCGGAGGGACACCTGCTCAGGTGGGTTTGTCTGTCAGACTATCGGTGTGTCTGTATGTGGCATTGTGAGGGCTCTGTACAATACCGGTATAATCTGGTAATCTTTTATGCCGCACTGTTCATATGAGATTTATCATTTTGCTATTGATAATCGTTATTTTAACACTTTTATCTATTTTCTCTTCTGACATTTTCTGACAGTTAAATAGTGTCATCCTTGTATTTATGATGATTAAAGTAATACACACTAAAACTTGCGCCAGTTTAAATAAGGTTGGAAATTTTTATATTTTGTTTACCAGTAAAATTTACAAAAATACTGTAAATTACACCATTAAAATTAAACGCGTTATAAAGTTATCAAATTATAATTATTTGTAATCCTGCCAGGAGAGAACTGGCTATTTTTAAATAAATCCATCGCGTGACTACGTCGCAACTTTTCGATTGATTAACAAACATGGCGTCAGGAAAACGAGGTAGGCCGTTTCATATACAACTCACGTTTGACGTGGACGGCAAGCGTCTAACTCTTAATGATACTTATCTTTTAATGTAATCAGTATGAACCATCTATACTCTGTTATGACGCACATTAACTTTTACTAATAATGCAGCATACCTCGTTGTCTATGATTTCCCATGGACATGCTTGTCTATACATATGTCTACTGTTACCGTATTTCCTTCATCAAAAGACTGAATTTTTAATTGCAGTTTTGTTATTACATCGACTGGTATGGTAAACTTTTGTGAAAAGTATCCTCTTTTCATTACACTCCATGTGTTTCAAATTATTTAATCATTTTGTTTCACACAGAAATCGGCGATCATATAGCGTGTATTACTTTAATGCTACGTTTTCTAATGTCTTAATTTACACGATACTCTGACGTCTTACACGGTAAGTAAAATTTAATCTTGTGCAATATTACAATAAGACGCATTCTGAGCATGAGTTATAAATCAAACAGCCAGAGTTTATCAGTGAAATCATTACTAACATCCGTTTAGCAAATGTGTGTGTTTTGTTGAATTAAATAGGTAATGATTAAAATACTATTTGTTTTTATTTCTTTTTAAAAGTTCATTGATTATATATATTAAATTTGACTGCTGAAAAGTCAGTAAAAATATTAACTAATTTATCCATTATATTTTTCTTTGTTTCTATTTCCTTGACAAGAAGTAGTTTATAATGATTTATAGGCAGGATTCAATGCCGGTGACGGGAAGGTGTTTGATGCAGTTAATGGGTCACAGACACCAGACATCATTACGATAAACGAGAAAACCAATGTCAATGTACCAGGAAAGTTTGTGTTTAGGATAGATTCGTCAAAAGTGATAACAGGGGGATGTAACACCAAAGGTAAAAGACATTATACATTACATATGTGGAGATTAGAAATAAGAACGGAGCAAACATGGACCTCCAAAACATTAGAGGTGGGATCATGTGCCATGATGGAGTGAGCATCCCCTGGTCACACCTGTTTTAAAATACTTTCTTATCAGAGAATGTTTATAAGTCCTTATGTTTACCTTTTTTATTAAGAAAATTTTATAATTAATCTGCTTCTTTTGCTTTTCATATCAGTTTTTAATTTTCAAACTTTGCATAATTAATTTATATGCCCCCTACTTGTGTTGAGAAAATAGCTGCTTTCAGGACAATTGACTTCTGAATCATTAATTAACATAAAGATTCATTATTTACTTAATAGCTTTTTTCTATTCTATTTTAATTTATTTAAAACAAATGACTCTTACGCATCTGAGTAATTCTTTTAAATATCATGTCAAAAATGAACACATTGGAATTTCTTTGAGATATTCAGTGTAACCTGAAAACAATTTTATTGACATCTAGTAAAATCATGGTTGATTATAACTACAGGGACCATGATAATTTCACCAAGAAGCGGCCCTTTGTTTGGAGGTCAGCATCTTACATTGAGCGGACCTTGCATTGATCAGTACGATGTCTTTAAAGTCAGGTTCAGCGGAATAGGGAAGACTTTGACGTGTGAGAAGAAGAATCAATATAGCTTTTACTGCATCACACCTAGGTTTGACAATACTGGAAAAATCACAGTACAAGTATCATTACATAGTAAAACCAAACGGATGAGTGACACGTATTTGAATGGATATTACACTGTTTGTAAGTATTTAATTTTACTTAAGGATATTTACCTCTAGAAACCATCAATTTATTTGAACCAGCATGTTCTGGATAGATCAAAATTTGAAAAGGACTCCAATTCAGTAAGGGAAGATTTCCACAGAAGTTAAATATTTTACTTATTTCCTCTTTGGCTTGACTAGCATTAATAACAGAAGATGGCACTAACTTTTTAACAACTACTAGTAATTTTATAAAACAAAAAAATCTGCAAAAGAATAATTTAAAAACTTATTATACTTTTTTTTATTACATCTTGGTTCCAATTTGCAACTAACGTACCATTTCAAAACCATTTAATTCATTTTCAACACGAACCATGAAGGTCAAAAATCAAATTCTATAACTTAAAATGCTGTGGAATTTTTTTTACAACATCATGGATAAGAATTGTTAATTATTTGCCCATCTGTTATCTCATCTTAATGTCTTGTCAAAGAACTTTTAATAAAAACTCCTCTTCAAGAAACAGGAAGGGGAAAAAACAAAACGTGTTTGAAAGACAAAGTATCGAAAATGCTCCTTTATAAATTTTTGGCAAGCTACTTTTGATAAATTAGAGAAATGGAAGAGTTAACTTTGTTTTTTTTTTAAATGTTTGTTTCAAAATTAATTTAATTTACGTTGATCACGTAGAATATCTAAATCATTGCAGTGAATCCAGTCTTTTGCAAAGCTAATGTAATTCGTAATGACCCGGACAATTGGAAAAATGGTTCACAGTCAATATCGTGGAAAAATAATGTACCGGAACTAGAAAATAGTAGCACGGTCGATCTTGAAGTACACGCACTGAAGGTAACTTATACTCACACTTGAATTTTTCTTTTTGAAAAATATAGTATTCTAAACTTTCACTTCTTAATAATTGTTATTTATTAATAAGTAAAATTCTTATATGAATAGAAATACATCCTTTCAAATGTAAATTTAAAATGCCATGCTGATATTGAATAAACTTCAAATCAAATTTCTTTTTACTTCAGGAAAAAAATGGGAAATTAGACTTTGAGTGCTCAAATACAGTAGCAAATATTTCAAATTCTATTGGTACGACAAACTTTAATTTCAACATCACTCAGCAAGTCGCCTTACTTAAGATAAAGTCCCGTGTAAAAAGAAGGGGAATGTAAGTTTATATTATTTTGGACTCCATATTTGGGACATTTATCATTACAATTGATAAACGCATACTACATAATGTGTGCAGTTACAAAAAAGGAATTAAATTTTTGTAGGCCATCCCCTGGAATATGGTCTGATGTTTTCCTAATATCACAGTCAGGAGAAGAAGCCCGGCAGATCTGTAAAAACTGGATTAACTCGGAAAGTTCGTTTCCAGCAGTAGACCCCGGTGAACCCTGCCCATGTACGATACAGCAGGCTCGTGTAGACTACGTAAAATATCAACCCGATCCTGATTGCAACATGTTCCAAAAGGAATCAAATGAAAAAGCCAACTGTCGCTATAGACGTGATGCCCAACATTGTGTAAGACTACCAAGACCAAGGTATTCATCTTACAAAATATTTTATTTATTTTTGATAATTTGTTCGTCCACATAATATTTATGTTTCTCTCTATTCATTTATCAATATTTACATTTCCAAAAAAATTCCCCTATGATTCTTTACAAAATAAAATGCAGTATATTTTCTCATGAACTACATTAGGTATGCACCACGAGTAAACATGAATATCTCCATTGTTACGTAATAATACCGCTCTTGACATCAAAAAGTAAAAAAAAATATGGTGCACACTGTTTCGTATTAAAAATGACAGTTGAACGGCGTAAATTTATGGCAAGTCATCAAAAAAAATAATGTAAATATAAGAAATGAATTTAACTTTTTGAAGATTCATGAGGTATATGAACTTCATCGCTTCACTCCGGCATATTTATCATGAAGCGCCGGTGTGAAGCGTCGTAGTTCATAACCTCAAGAAACTTCAAAAATTAAATTTAAATATGTAGTATTTTGGTAATACAAAGAATAATAGACATGATTTGAGTATTTCAAAAGTTACATTTCCGTTAAGGTAACCTAGTTTGCAAAATATACTATTAAGCATTGTATTGTTTTTAAACCAATATTAGGGAGTATATATTTCAATTAACGTTTTGAGTCATTTTTTTTTCAAAACTCGAGACTTTGGATTATTCCGTCTACCTGGTCATAACGTTTTACGGCAGTTATGACAAGGGATACTTACTCCTCCTAGGCACCTGAACGACCTCTAAATTTTTCGGGGTTAAAATTTCATGCCATATTCAGAAATTTTTATTGTTTGTAGGTGTTATTTTAATTACCGTTCGTTCTCTAGACTTTTTTTTTTATTTTAGAATGCATTTGAATGTATTGTTCTTGTTAAAATGATTTTATGAAGCTCATCTTTTATTTCACAATTAATACAAAATATGAGTTTAGAACTATAATTTTTATTTTCATTCTTGGAAAGCAAAGATGGCAGTGATAACGTTTGCTGTTATAATACAAATGGAAATTTAATAGACTCCAGGGTAGAAGAAGGAGGCACATATCAACGATATCACTATGGTGAGGGTGTTCCTTACGTCAGCAACTTTTACTATGACGTCATGCCGTTTCTGCAGTGTTGTCGTTTTTCACAGCCGTCCGCGAACGATACTTCCGCTAAAGAAGATACGTACAGCCTCTGTCAAAATTATCTAAAATTAAGGAATTATAGCTCGTGTCAAAATTACGAGCCTCCAAGGCTAGGTAATTAAAATGAATAAATCACATTAAACTTTGTGTTACAAGAGATAGGATATACTTTGTCTCCTTACATCCCTACTGTAATAGCATTTGCTTCTATAAATACAGCAAAACAATCAAATAAGTTTACAAAGAATATGCTAAGAGTATTGATTGATTGAAGAAATCTACCTACAAAAAGCACACAACCGCCATTTTTCTATGTTTTTGACCTACTATGAACCAGTTTTGGAATGAAATTAATCTATAATTGATATAAAGCGTCTCATTGTTTAAAGCTAGAACGAGCGGTGACCCTCACATGACTACCCTAGATGGGTTCAGTTATACATTTAATGGAGCCGGTGAGTTCGTGTACATATACACAGAAGATGAACTATTAAAAAGCCAAATCCGCTTTGAGCAATTAAGAAAAGACGACGGTAAGATAAAAAGACATCACCTCTTTTGAGCATTAACTTTAAATAATTTCATGGATTATCAAAAATATTTTCATCTCTAAGATACTTTCATTTATGATAAGGATCGTTTGTTCCTGCAACTGTAGCCACGGCTGTAGTAATGGAGTATGGAAATAGTTCCGGGCGTTTAGAAGTTCGCCTTAACTCGATCAGAACAGTTGATGTTCTCCATAATTCTGAACTTCTAGTGTTTGAGGAGTCAAATTGGATGGATCTTAACGGTATTTTAATTAAACACTTTAAATCTATTGACGCTACATAATGTTCTATACTACATTTATTTATCGTATATTGATTTCTAGGTGTGTCCATCCTCTTGCTCCCGACTGAAAGCAATAGTTCAGACGCTTCACTGATGGTTATGTTGAAAGATATCAAAATATCTTTCAACATACAAGCCTCAAAGAGGATAATGAATGTTCTACCGATTGCTCATGGGGATGAGATCAAAGGTTTGTATATGAATTGCAGGAGCCAAGTCATATTACTGGTAAAGTTGGATATAATAAAGAAATCTTTTTAAGTCATAGTATAAATATAATTTTTATGTCACCGTAAACGAAGTTTACATATTGGGGGCATATTTTTTGTACTCTCTCTCTCTCTCTCTCTCTCTCTCTCTCTCTCTCTCTCTCTCTCTCTCTCTCTCTCTCTCTCTCTCTGCCTGTTTGTCTGTTTGTCTGCAAAAACTTTAACCTTGTCCATACCTTTTGATTTAGTGGGTCCATGACTTTTATATTTCACATGTGTATTTCTTGTATCAAAAACTTTCTTTGAGTACAACGACCTTTTGAACTTAACCTTGGAGTTTGACCCCCTTTTACGTATAAATTTTAAACTTTTACTTTGGCCATATCTTTTGAACAGTAGATACCAGCACATTAATACTTTACATATGTATTTTTTGGTTAAAGACCTTTCATTGGATCCAACAACCTTGATCCTTTTGACCTAGACCTTGTAGATTTCCGTACCTGTGAAAAAACGTTAACATTGGCCATAACTTTTGAACGGTTTTCATTCTTCATATATCTTATCCTTGTGAGGAGAACCTTTATTGGATACCAAGCACTTTGACACTTTGACCTTGACCTTTGAATTTGACCTACTTTAAAAAAAAAAGCAAACCTTGACAAAAACTTTCGAAGAGTTAGGGCTAGGGCTTCCATACTTCACATATGTATTCTTCGTGGCAAGACCTTTCATTGAATACTAATTGCCCCTGACCTTGGAGACTTCCTTATTTATCAGTGTCTATGAAAAACTTTAATTTTGGCCTACCTTCATATTTCACAATTGTATTTCCAGTGAGAATACCCTATTTTGAATACCAATATATCAAATTTGCATTTAAGAAAAGTTTAACCTTCTCTTTATGTTGCCATACGGGGGCATCTGTGTTTCACAAACACATATTATTCAAAATTATCTTTATACTTTTTTTTTGTTCTTTATAGGTTTTTAATTAGTTTAGTTATTTTAGTCAATGTAAAAACAATGCTCTTTTTTTTAAACTTTATTATACCCCCCGCTTGAAAAGCGGGAGGGTATATAGTAATCGGTATTTCCGTCCGTCTGTACGTCTGTCTGTCCATCCGTCTGTACGTCTGTCCGTCCGTCCGTCCGTCCGTCCGTCCGTCCGTCTGTTACGCTTTGGGGTACCCATCTCTTATCAGCAACTCCTCTCATACCACTGAAGGAAATTTAATGAAACTTTCACAGAATCTTAATTACATATTGCCATTGTGCACCTCCTATTTTACTTTTTGATCTGACATATATTTTGGATTTTCCAGAGCAAAACATGGATACTGCCAATATATTCATATGGGAGGTGGGGGGTATCATTTAGTGAGCTCATTGCTCACAGTACCTCTAGTTTTACATTAATTTTTCATATTGTCATTTGCATGCTCCGTTAATTTGTTTTGTTTATTTAAAGGAAAACTAAAAGGACTGCTTGGAAATTATGATGAGAACCCATCAAATGATCTTTTGTCCTCGGATGATCAACTATTATCGCCGAATGCCAGCGATGTCGTGATATATAATAAGTTTGGAATGTCTTGTATGTTTTTTTTTCTTTCAGCTTTATTTTTGGTAATTTATAGAAATCGCAAATTAGAGTTATAAAATAAAGAAAAGTTATCAATATCGGATATGTTCAAGAATCTTTTAAACATCAGAACTGGGATGAGTCCTCATCTCGTAAGTTCTATGTCGAAACAATGCCTTTGTCAGCAAATACAATTTGTCATTGAGTCAAACGCTGATTGGGGTTTTCATCCTGACTGCTAGGCTATTATTTTCCCACTGAGTTGTTAACGGATTTTCCCGGTTTTTTCCCAAACATGAAAAGGAGCACACGGCAGGTGTGACCGATCGCAGAGAATGCTCACTCCTCCATGGAAACATACCATCTCTGATGTTTTGGAGGTCTGTGTTTGCTCTGCTCCCTTCTTGCAATGTTAAATTGGTTTTTGAGCTCGAATATTTTTGTTATCTCCACATATTGCGTAAGAAAATTTCAAAAGGTATATTTTATTAATTTATGCAAACATTGATAATGTAATATTAAAGGAAATTCTATTAGGATACTTTAATTTATAAAGTAATTAAAGTAATAATTTAAACACAAATATAATATAAGAAACGCATGTAATCTTTTTATGGAAAATGATTTCAAACATACTATTTCGTGGGAAGTTGAGACCGGTTCTTTGGGTAAGACTGTATAAACCGAAATAGACTGCTCAATGGCCCTAAGTGCCGAGTATAGGACGAATTTTTTAGCTCTTCACCGGCAACTGGTGGCGTCTCCATATGCGTGCAAAATTCTAAAGAGGGACGTTAAATAACATACAATCCATCAATCAATCAACCAAGCATTCTGTTTGCCAATTTACTTTCATTAAGTCCGGAGATAATAAACCCTGCCCTGATTACCTAATCTGTTGACCCCGTCAATTCAATGAATGTAGGCACATAATTGGAAGCCAAATGCAAAAATTCTATGTCGTGGGATGAAGGAAATCCGAATTTTCTTAGAACAAACAATTGTTTAGTAAATTTTTACATCACATAACTATGCTACAAGAGACAAACTGGGAGGATGCAAACAGCTTAAACGTTTTCAACCTAATCATGAAAAATGTTACGTTAAAAAAGATGAGAGGAGCTCCGCCCAATATATTACATGCCTGACTTTAATGGCCATAGTTACAGATTCACATTATTAAGCTTACAGTTCAATGTTTTGAATTTATGGGGATATTTTTTACATAACTGCTGATGAACAAGAGACAAACTTTATTTTAAACTATTTAAAATAAAGTTTGTCTCTTGTTCATAATTTTTTCATGCAAGAGATTTTCTATTAGCTCATTTGTTCAACTTACAACAACCTTCACCACTCCCTCAAACTAGTTGAAATAGAAATTCATCATTATAGGGGTCATCAACGAGACGGAGTCCCTGTTCACGTATGAGCCTGGTAAGAGTTTTGCTGACTATCATCAGCCCTCATTCCGTCCCGTGTTTGAGTCCTCCGTGTCGGTTACAGAGGAAGTGAGGGCGGTGTGTGGAGAAGACAAAGATTGTATTTTTGATTTCTCTGTCACGGGATTACGTGACGTAGCGGAGCAGTCCCGAACTTTCCAGAAACAGTTTCAGGAATCCCAACAGGCGGCTGTGATAGGTAAAATAGTTATCTATATATCAAACATAAATTACATTGATATCCCAATATCAGGTAGTCTAAATCTTAATTTCGGGAATCGTATATGATTTTGATTAATGTATTTTAATTACAGTGATTACTTGCGATGACTTGCCAACGGTCGCTGGAGGCGTGTGGAAATCGACCAATGGAAATCTAGAAAACTCGTCTGCCGTCTTCATTTGCAGAGATAGGTACAGTTTGTCTGGCAGCTCCAGAAATATTACATGCAAGAATGGGTATTGGGAACCGTATGGAAATATTTCATGTTTACGACATGATAGCGTTGTTAAAGATCAACAAACCAACGCCACTACACCTTCAACAAATGTTCCCGTCTACATTGGAGTTGGAGGGGCACTCCTTTGTATCTTCATCTTTTGTGTAATTCTTTTTATATCTATGATGAAGAAACGGAGGTAAGCAGATTTTAAATAATAAATGATTTTTATCTTCAAATGACAATTAGATGAAAAGAGAGTAAATAAAATTTACTTTAGCAATAAAATCACGTTATTACTTGATATTTCAAAGTGATATATTTTCATATGAAAAAATATGTTATTTTTATTTATGATTTTAGCATAAAATATGAATGTACCATTTCAGTTTGTCTCGTTAGTATAAAAAAAATCGAATGTTTGAAATCATTTAAATATCCTTGAACATTGGGAAAAAAGTCCGGTGTTATTCAAATGAAATAAATTTTATCATTGGTACAAATAGAAAACCATATCAAGTGTTATAAATATTGGAATTTGGAATTGCTTCCACCTCCTCTGCTGGATTAGCGATCACAATTCGCAATTGTCATCTCTTTTGTCCCATGTTTGCCCCTTTATCCCGTGGATATGACTCATTTTATATTTTCAAACCCAACACTTAAGTAAAATGTGACGTCACAATAGTTTATGCGTTAGTTTGATGAAGTAAAATAGATTGGAGTCCTATACAAAAAGAGTGTAACACTTTGGTTGTGAATTATCAAACATGGGGTAAAAAGAATCTCGCGTAACTTATAATTGGATATGACTTTTATCCAAATCGTTGTGTGTTTTTCTGCCCTCGCCAAGGCTCGGGGATAAAAAAAAACCACAACTCGTTGGGAAAAAAAATCACATCCAACTACAAATCTTTGGTTAACCTATATTTATCGCATTATTAATTAATTTAACAATTGAGGATTAACACATTCTTATTTACAGGTTTAAGGGATTGAATATCCATACTGGAGTCGGAACATCGAAGATCACCCAAGATGCCCAGGAAGAAGGTTTAAGTGCAGAGTTATCTCAAATGAATGTTAATAAATCAATGTCGCCTGCACGTTAATTGCTTTTTACAATTTAAATATCAAAGAATTAAATCTTCATTAACATTTTATTCTACAAGTGTAATATTTTGAATAGAAATGAGACTTTTTTATTTACTTTTTTGTATACATGTTATAAGAATGTGGCAAATTGCTTTGATGTTTTGCTGAAAATAACTCTTGTTTTTTTTTTTTTTACCAAAATATACATTTCTAGGGAGATTGGGGATGGGATGAAGGAGGGCAATATTAAATCAGTATTTGTTATTTACATTAGCCTACCTAGTGTACAAATATCATTTATTTTTGACCAAAAAGAATTAAATGATTCAAATCTTGAATTGTTGTTTATTTTGTATATTTCCTCCACTTGCTTTTTAGCTCACCTGAGCCGAAGGCTCAAATGAGCTATTCTGGTGGTCAAAATTTGTCTGTTGTCTGTCGTCGTTGTCGTTGTCGTCGGCGTCGTTGTAAACTTTTCACATTTTCATCTTCTTCTCAAAAACCACTGGGCCACTTTCAACCACACTTGCCATAAAGTATCCTTGGGTAAAGGGAATTCAATTTTATTCAAATGAAGGGCCATGCCCTCCAAGGAGAGATAATTATGAATAAGTGAAAAAGTAATGGCATTTTTAAAAAAATATTCTTATCAAGAATTACTGGGCCAAGAAAGATGAAACTCATGTGAAAGCATTCTTAGGTAGTGTAGATTCAAGTTTGTTCAAATCATGACCCCCAGGGGTAGGGTGGGGACACAATGGGGGTCAAAGTTTAACATAGGAATACAAAGGAAAAATCTTTAAAAATCTTCTCCAGAACCACTTGGCCAGGAAAGATGAAACTCATTTGGAAGCATCCTCAGATGGTGCAGATTCAAGTTTGTTCAAATCGTGACCTCCGGGGGTAGGATGGGGTCAAATTGGGGGTCAAAGTTTAACATAGGTTTACAAACTAGGGAATATCTTTAAAAATCTTCTTCTCCAAAACCACTAGATCAGAAAAGTGAAAACTCATGTGGAAGCATCCTCAGATAGTGTAGATTCAAGTTTGTTCAAATCATGACTCCCAGGGGAAGGGTGAGGCCACAATCTGGGGGACAAAGTTTGATATAGGAATACATAGGGAAAATCTTTTAAAATCTTCAACTCCATAACTACTGGGCCAGGGAAGATGAAACTCATTTGGAAGCATCCTCAGGTGGTGCAGATTCAAGTTTGTTCAAATCGTGACCTCCAAGGGTAGGATGGGGCCATAATGGGGGTCAAAGTTCAACATAGGTTTACATACCAGGGAATGTCTTTAAAAATCTTCTTCTCCAAAACCACTAGACCAGAAAAGAGGAAACTCGTGTGGAAGCATCCTCAGGTAGTGTAGATTCTTCAAGTTTGTTCAAATCATGCCTCCCAGGGGAAGGGTGGGGCCACAGTCTGGGGATCAAAGTTTAACATAACAGGAATACATAGGGAAAATCTTTTAAAATCTTCTATTCCAGAACTACTGGGCCAGGAAAGTTGAAACTCATGTGGAAGCATCCTCAGGTAATGCAGATTCAATTTTGTTCAAATCATGACCCCCATGGTTATGGTGGGGCCATGATGGGGGTCAAAGTTTAACATAGGAATACATAGGAAAAATCTTTAAAAATCTTCTTCTCCAAACCAGTGGGTCAGGAAAGATGAAACTCATTTGGAAGCATCCTTAGGTAGTGCAGTTTCAAGTCTGTTGGTTTGAACATATTTTATTGTCAAGATATTACAACAAAAAGATTGGACACAAGTGCTAAATACTTAGAACTTCTGTTCAAATCATGACCCCTAGTTGTATGGTGGGGCCATGATGGGGGGGTCAAAGTTTAACACAGGAATACATAGGGAAAATCTTTTAAAATCTTCTTCTTACACCAATGGGCCAGGAAAGATGAAACTAATTTGGAAGCATCCTCATGTAGTGTAGATTCAAGTTTGTTCAAATAATGATCCCCAGGGGTATGGTGGGGTTATGATTGGGGGAGGTCAAAGTTTAACATAGGAATATATAGGGAAAAACTTAAAAAACTTATCAAGAACCACTGGTCCAGTAAATATGAAACCCACGTGGAAGCATCCTCAGGTAGTGTAGATTCAGGTTAGATATAAATCATGACCCCCAGGGGTATGTTTGAGCCATGATTGGGGGTCAAAGTGTAACATAGGAATACATAGGAAAAATCTTTAAAAATCTTCTTCTCAAGAAAAGCAAAGCCATGATTGGTCATAGTTATATGGAAGCAGCCTCATGTGGTGTAGATTCAAGTTTGTTCAAATCATTATCCATATTGAACCCAATTTAATATATAAATTTTTCAATGCTGAACTGATTTTGCTTTTAATTTTACATAGCCAGAGGTCAGGTGAACGATGTGGGTCTGGGCCTCTTGTTTCGTTATCTCTTGGGATTCAGAGAGTGAGATACTGTATATGTTTGTTCATTTGATCTATCTGTTTCCACTCTAGGTGGTCATAATTTACAGAATAAACTCTATCTTCTAACTGAAGGACCAAACTATGTCACATTTTAATAATAACTTTTCTTACTTTGGTGGAATAGACAATTCATATTTTGGAAGATTAATGGGAGTGTTCTGTAGATGTAAAAGGATGTCCTGGGTATCGTTTATGATCAAGCTCAAATCTACATAACGAGAGAATCCATTCCAGATTTGTCTTTTCTGTTCCTGAGAAAAAAATAGATTTTTTTTAAATTTATCTTGTAACTTTACTTATTATGGCCCAACCTATCCGTTTATGGTCATTGCATTACTTAAGAAAAAGCTTTATATAGGAGTTTCAACTTGTCTTGTCTAAAAGACTTGTAAAGAATATTATTATTCATATAAAAACGTATGAAGTGTGGCTTCAACCTATTCCAGGTTATTGTGTTTTGAAAAAAAACTTGAATCTGTACTTTGCAATAAAGCTTTCAATGAATATTTAAATTTTTCTAGTCCAGTTCTAATCAAACAAGCTTTATCTTTATGCCACTGTGGAAAACTTTGATCACCCGGGGACATACTTAACGAAGCTTTCACATGAGTATAAAATTGTCTAGCCCCATATATCCCGAGGATGTGACAATCAGGGAAGCTATTAGGTCCATTGGAATCTGTAATTCATAGATTTTTTGAAAAATCGTGTGATTTAGTTTTCACCGGGACATTCCCAGGTGAGCTGCCGTGTGAGTGCTTGATACACATTTAGAGGGAGCTGAGTTTCGCTGCATAGGCAGTACATTTTATGCAGTATGAAACGCGCAATATCACAAGCATCAAAGGGCAAGGATAGCCGATCGTGGTAGGTATTTTGTATTTTTTATTGATTTTTAGTGTGTATTTAAAAGTATTCTTGTTTATCAATGAGTCTAAATATAATTTTGGCTTACAATCAGATGTGTAACCTACCCACTTGAGCAGCGATAGATTATTACACAGTTCCTAATATAATTGTCATTAAAAGGCGACATATATTATTTGTACTTTGGTATAAATATACATCATTTAGTGTTGCCATCAGAAAGAGTTGCCTAACTGGATGTCTTGAAAAATTGTAGCGATAAGACAAACATAAGCTGAGTTTACCAGTAAACCACGAGGGATCTTATAAGAATATATACGAATGAAAGCCAGGGATGGGTTCGATTACTTTTAAAAGTAATCGATTAAATTACAATTACTTTGGATTTTAAAAGTAATCGATTAAAAGCTGATTACAGACATTTTTTAAAGTAATCAATTACATCTGATTACTTTTCCTTCATGTAATCATGATTACTTATGATTACTTTAGATTACCTTAAGTTGTACTTTTTTGTTTAATATTCAAGGACAACGTCATGTTTTTATTCTTCCTTTTTTAAAATATCCTTAATATTTTTAAGGTAGAATTCAGACAAAGTTTAGTTGTATATGTCTTTATATAGATGCATGAGATTTATTTTATATCACCTGATTTCTATCTTTAAACAAGTAAATGTCTTGTTACTGTTGAGAGAATTAGAAAAAAGAATTTATCATAGTTTTTTTTATAGATAAAACTGGACATAATTTTAGGTAAGGATAAAGGGATTTGATAGGGAACTGTTACACAAGTAATTGACCTTCTTGACAAGTGAAGGACTTTTCAATGAAAGTGCCAATTATAAGATGTTTGTACTGGAATTAACACGTGGACTGGACAAGCATGGATAGTTCAATAATTAATATTACCCAAGCTGACCCAGCCTTATATGACTAATTAATTCACATTACCTCTTTATGTACACTGTAAATCAAAGAAAGGGAATTTCAGAATACGTTTCTATTATAAAGAAACATTTGCTTAAAAAAAAAAATTTCAAAGATTAACGGGGAAAGCAAATTGTTGCATTACACACATGTTCATTAATTGAGACAAAAATAAATCAAACTTTTAAAATGATCCTGTAGTAATTTGCTATCACTATATACATATATCTTGTCAAAAACAGCGAATTACAAAGCTGCTAAAGTATTTTGAAATGACTACTGAATAAAGCAAGGAACTGAGAGAATTTACTCATTGCCTGGACAATGGACTTGAATATATTTAAACATTTCTGGAGGCATTAGAAGAGGATATAATTAAATATAGCTTATGGTTTTGTAATAATTTTTAAAAAAAAGTTTTGCACACTGAAAAATATTCACTGAAAATCATTAAAAATCATGATTTTTTAAACTTTGTTTTAATAATTGTAATCATAAAGTAATGAAAAAGTAATCATGATTACAGGACTTTTTTCAGAGTAATCGATTAAATTACGATTACATGTAATCAGAAAAATGAGTGATTAGTGATTACTCATGCGATTACTTGGCAAATTGTAATCGATTGCAGCTGATTACGATTACTGATACGATTACCCCATCCCTGATGAAAGCATGAAGAAATGTGTGCGAATGTGAGTGTGTTTATGAAAAAAACTATAGAAAGTTTTCTTTTGTAAATAAAATTCTGTTTATTGG